TATAACTACATTATATATACTTATATCTTAGTATTAGAATCTACACCTTGGTAAGAGTGTATATATATATAAGTATATAATATATTATACTTGTATACTTACAAGAGAGAGTGTGTGTGTGTATAGACACACTTGTGTACTTAAATATATACATTTAGGACTAGGAAACTACGACCATTTTTCTAAAAAAACCACATATACTTAGAACTATATATATTAAGTATACGGTTAATGACCATAGTCATAATATATTTATATATATTAATATAGTTATATAATATATATATTTATATATAGTACTTAATATTAATATATATATATATAATAAGTTTTAATAACCAGGTCGGGCTTCACCATCATATATCCGGTCACGGCCCCGCGGAGCCCAGTCTCCTAATTTTCTGGGCTTTTTTGGGGCTCGAGTCTGGTCTGGGCATAATATATATAATATTTATATTTTATATCTGGATATTAGTAATATATATATGGTATATATATATAATATACTATAGCTATATAATATATAAAATATATCATATATATTATATTATTATATATATACTATATATATATATAAGTTTAATAACCAGGTGCCTGGGGCTTCACCCAATCCCCAATCAATTCGGTCACGGCCGCGGACCCAGTCAGGCCCTAATTTTCCTGGGGGCTTTTTGGGCTCGAGTCTGTCTGGGGCCCTAGTCTGGTCGGAGCTGGACACCGGGCCGGGTCTGGGCGAAGCCCAATTGGACAAGTCTATGTACAGGCTACGAAAATGGAGCTACTCCTTTGGATTGGATTGGAAGAAGTTCGAGTTGGAGAATTGTAATCCAGGAAGACCCATAAAATTTAAACTAAAACTTTATATTATTAATAAACGCGTCAATACACAAAACAACACAGTGCTAACATTTTTGCAAGTAAATATCAATTCATTTAATATGATTTATAGTTTTTGAGTATGTAGGATCAATTCTTTAAGAGTTTATACCAATTTTGAGTGTTAAAGAAGTATTTATAAATAGAAAGGAGTCAGAGAACTCAGTTCGAATTCTTACAGCCGCACAACATTTAAACAGTAAATTTCTATACCTTCATGTTTCAATCTTGTCTGGATTGGGAAGTACTTTATGTATAGCATTATTAAATTACAACTACAATATGGTATTTAGATAAATGGGGGTTACATCTCCATCCAGCCCCAGCAGCTATGCCTCCAAACAACATTGGACTATGCACTGTCAATGTGTCGTACAACTATAGCTGTCCCATGAAAGTTATTTTGCCGCTAAGTGTTGCGTTAAAATTAACCCACTTACCACCATTTCACTGTGCATGCTCCCAAGCTTAAAGACACCCAACTTGGGTTCTTCCCTACTTACAATCTGCACCCGGAACAAAAATACTATAACAAATACAGATCTGAGTGGGATAGCTGGGTTGCCCAGGTGCCCTGCCGTACAAAATTGCAAGCTTGAGAACAACAACCTAAATCAAAACACCGTAAACAAAAGGATAAAATGACTGGGTTTTGCAAGGTTTCATGCATGCGCTCGAGGTCTTCCCAATCAAAATTATTTCATTCCCATGAGCTTGCTCAGTCTTTGTTTGGTAATTTTCTTGGTTAATTATTGGTTTTTTTATAGCAGCCGTTGAAAATCACCTCACTATTGATACTATGTCCCTTTACGATATGTCGGTATGTTTGATATTTTATTTCCCTAAAATTGCTTAATATATTGATAAGAGGCTCTCCGAAGTTTGTTGGGTTATTATACCAATGATACTATTTCCATTATGGTTAGTCAATTTTATATAAGGACGATGGAATTGAATTATATCCTCTAACCCTTTAAAACGCCAAATCCCCACAAAACCCGTAAGACACGCAAACCGAACCCGCTACTTATTTCCTATCTTGCTCAAAAAGTGGTCTTTATCATTTTATGAGTCTATTAAATGTGGGTCCATTGATACCCCTCCAATTAGACCCGGTCTCTCTCTTCTACCTAGATCTTAATATCCTAATTGTGAGTTTGCCATTTGGCGAGTTTTCCCATGTCTTTCTGCTAATGAAGTTCCAGTTGAATGGTTAACTCCGAGGTTGTTATTGTGGATTGTACTGCTAAGACTCGGACTGGTGAGCAAGGTGAAATAAGGTCTTCAATCTCTATGGGTTTTGCCC